CGGGAGCGCGCCCGGCCCGAGGATGCGCCAGGCGGGACAACCCCGGTGGCCCGGCCGGGCACAGGTGAGGGCGGCTCGGACCCCTCGAGCGCCCCGGGCTCCTCCGCTGTCCCGGGGCCGCTGGGCGGCGAGGGGGGCGCGCTTCTGCCAGGGGGCGCGGGGCCGGGAGCGGCCGGGGAGGGGCTGGGGGTACCAAGTCCGTGTGGGCCGGTGAGGAGAGGGGGGCCCGTCCCCCCCAGACCCCTGACGGGGGAGGCCTGGTGAGGTGAGGCGAGGTGAGCCCTGCCCCGCTCCTGAGGTGAGGCGAGGGCAGGTGGGCTCTGTCCCGTCCAGCCCCGTGCGGAGCCGCACACGGGGAGCAGCTGCCCGAGCCCCGGTGCCCCGGCCACACAGAGCGAGCACCGCGGGCCGTGCCAGCGGCTCCCGGGGCTGCCATGGCCGTGCCGCCAGCTCTGCATCAGGGCCGGTTTGGTTCCCAGGGTGTTCCCGCTGCTGCTGTCCCCGCGCGGTCCTCGCTGCCACCTTCGGCCTCGGGCGGCACCTGTGGGAAGAGCCGTGCCTGGAGCGGGGCCTCGGCTGCCGTGCTGCGGAGCAGGAAGGACAGAGTGCTGTGCCGGGCTTGTCTCCAGGTGTGCTGGGAGCTCCTTCGGGCTGTGCGCTCGTGGGTTATCGCACAGCCCGCTGGCACTGAATCAAAAGCACGTTTAGTAAAGAAAGTACGTCAGTTTTGACATGGACACGTGAACCATTCCGTACACAGCCTCAAGTGTATTCGTGCCAGAGGGCAGAAGTGTTTGCTGGTGTGCTCCTCCACCACGTGCCTCATCAATCTTGGAACCCAAAAGGAACTTTTCAGGATAAGTTGGAGACATGTGAAAAGCTTTCTCTTTATGCAGAGTCAGTGCTACCCTGGCCAGCACCTTTCTGAACATGGGCTGTTATTTTCACTACCTTTGGCCATCTGTAATGGCTCACAACAGTTTCTGATCCCTGTGATCCTTGACTATACTATCTAATTTTTGAGACTTCAGTCTTCGGAGCTCCCAGACTGCTTCAACATGGAATTGAATGGGATGCTGTAGGAATCATCCGGGTTTTCACTGCACTGGGTCACAAACTTCTTCTTCTATGTGTACCAAAAGAGTCAAAAAACTCCTTTCTATGACCAGGATGGGACTTCAAGCTCACTGTGAAATTCAGCAAAAATGAAGGTGTTTTGTGGCCACAAAAAAAAAAAATAAAAATGGCAGAGCTCTTAAGTGCTTCTGTTGGAAAATTTAAGTCAGAATGATGTTGCAGGATTGATTATTTAATCTCTGTTGGAAAGAGGTTGATTTTTATCTCCTGACGTGCAAGATACCTGTTGCAGTCTGGTTTCAGTTGCCCATAAAAGCTCTGCCTTTTGTGTTTTCTGGGGGAGGGTTCTCACTGAAGTGTTCATTCCAGTGTTTGACTGCTGGAGAAGTTGATGCCCTAGGATTTTAATTTTTATAACTAATTTGCAGAGGCTTGTGTGAAGGTTTGAGGTTTGGTGAGTTCTAAAGTAAATATGTAGAAATTGTACCTAATTCTAAGCTGGTGTTGGTAGCAGTTTCAGGCATTTCTTTCTCAGAGCTGTTCCCATGCTCTGCCAAAAGCAGTTTTCTCTAGTTTTCAGTTCAGTGCTAGATGTGACTTCATTGCATTCAGTGAGCCTCAGTGGATAGACAAGAGTCCCTGTAAATGACAAATGTCTGCACTGTCTCATGGCAAGGGCACTTCACAACTTAGAAAAGTCTGCTGCAAGGAACCACCTCCTTCAGCTTGTTTTGTTCCAGCCCTCTCTGAGCTTGATTTGATCTGCTCCTGTATGGTGAAGGACAGGAGAAATTTCAGTTTTCTCCATCCTAAACCACTCTTGACTTTATTACTTGTGATGTCTCTTCCATACTGAGGAATCTTTCCTTGCTTAGGTCTTCCTTTTCAGGAGAGTTTGGTGCTTTTGATCACCTCTGAAACCCTTCCAGTTCTGCTCCCCCCTGCTTAGAGGAAAAGTACCAGATGTGCACACAGAGCTCCAGATGAGGGTGCTCTGGGGACTTGTGTGGCAGCTCAGTGCTGTTCTCCTGAGATCCCTGTTCCTTCTCCCCAAACTGCTAATTACAGCTGCCTCTCCTCAGCATGGCCTTTTTCTGACATGGAGGGTTTAGGCTGTTTGCTCAGGGTGGCCTGGGCTGGAATCCCTCTCCTGCCAGCCTGGAGTGTTTGCAGTGTGTGTGAGTGTGTGTGTAAGGCTGCAGTACCCACGGGTACCCCGTCTAAAAGCTCTCCCAGCTCAGCTCTGCTGGTGCTCTGGGATTTCCCTGTGTAAGGATTGGCTTTTTGCTGCCCTTCGGCACCCACATCCACCCTGCTGTGCCTGCCCTGCCAAACCAGCACTGCTGAAAGTCTGCTGGGGGAAGAGGAGGCTGCAGGTGGCTCTCAGGGGAGGGAGGAGAAGCTTGTCCTGTGCTCAGGGCCTGGTGGCTGCAGTGTTTGGGGTCTGCTGCCCTGTGGGCCCTTGGACCATGCAGGCTGTGTCTCCATTCCCAGAGAGCCCTGCTGGAAGTCACTGCTGAGGCTGGGCTGGCCACTTGTTGCTTTGTGGTGGTGCTGGTGACCTGAAGTTCTGGTAGCATCAGGAACTGCTGCATGGTAGCTCATCACTGGAATTGTAGATTTTTGCCAATAACTCCTAGTGATACCAATGTAGAACATTCTATCTTTTGGGATGAGTGAGTTTAAGATTAATTCCACCTGACTGAGATTATTTTTAAGAGGCAATTAGATAGAAAACAGGGAAGAGTAACATTTAAACTGAGTGCTTGTTACAGAAATCAGCTTATCTGAGTAGCAGGAGCCTCCTGTTGCACATTCTGTGGTGTTCTCCTGGAGCATTTTCAATTAATTCAGCCTTTTCTAAACTGTTGTGGTGTTGTGTGAGTTAGACACATCTGTGATCTGTGCAAGCAGGGACACACTCACCTGGTCTGTGTTCCACCTCACTTTGTGTCCCTTCAAACAAAGATGTTCTTGCTGCTGTAAGAATTTTTAACTCTTCCAGACCATAAACTGCTAAACAGATTTGTGGGGACTTCAGTAGTTATGCCTGCTGTCCATCCAGTTGCAAGGGTTTGTTTTTTGTGTGATTTGTATAAAGCAAGCCTGGCTAGAAGCCATCCTCCTTGCCAGTATCCCAGGGTCCCACCCTTTTATGTAGTAAATATTTTCAAGATCCTTTTGATCTTTGTCACTGCCTTGCTTGAGTGTTCTGCTAAATGTTGGATAAAAAGGAGTTTATGCCAATGAATGTTGTTCATCTTTATAAAGAGTGACAGTGACAGTATCACTGCAAATGCTGCATCACACAGAATAAGGAAAAACATACTGAATTAATTAAGTAAATATTTCATAAGCTGTTTTATAGCATCTGTAAACATTTGTGCATTTTGCAAGATAAATATTCTCAAGCATTTCTGTTTTCTAGTTTAGTGTCTGTACTACAGAAATACCTTGGATTTCAGTCAGGGTTCAGTTTTATAACACAAGCTGGGCAGTGCAGGCACCCCCAGACTGGTGAGAAGCTGATTGCAAACAAAGCCCTTGCACTGGGAGCAGTTCCACTTCTGTGCTGCTGCTGCCCAGTGCTGTGTCAGGGTTTGCTTCATGTCTTGTAATTAATGTGTGTGTCTTGGGATGGGGAGATGAGTAACACTGCTCCTGAAACAGGCCATGATTCTTGCTGCTTTTAGATGTCTTTTCCAGAGGTGTTGATCTGGTGCTGGTACCAGTTCTCTTTTAAAATATGGTCTTTGCTTTTTCATTGTAAGCTTCTAATGATAACTGAATTAATCATATTTTTCTCTCAAAAATAAAAAAAAATTCAAAGAAGGTCAAGTGGGTGTAGTAGATGAGACTTCAGAAAGGCACAGAACAAAAGCTGTGTTTTGTGGGTTTCTGTGGTGTCAGAGATTGAGGAGATTTCTGCCATCTCTCCTTGCAGCTGGTGCTGAAGGCAGTTTGGCCAGGTGTGCACAGCAGCTGGGCTAAGGCAGACTGGCAGGTAGGGATTGAAGGAATTGATTTACCAGGAAATATCTGGAAGAACAACAGGAGTGTGACTTGACCAATAATTTGTGTGTAGGCAGTGCAATAATTCTGTGCAACCCTGCATTCCTGGAGGTTAGGTGGCATTGGCAGAATGAGATATTTTTAACTGTCCTGAGTGAAGCTTTCAACTTCCCACAGTGGACACAGAGGAGCGCCCTTCTCCTTTCAGCAAGCACATTTCTGTGTATTTAAACACTGGCATTCCCTCTCCTTGTAGCTTCTCCTCCCCAGGCAAAACAAGCTCACTGAATCCAGGCTTTCCCCACAGGACATATTTTATAAATCTTCTCCAGACTGACTTATCTATTTGCCATAAAATTGTTAAGGTCCAAGTAGTTGTTTTCAGTTTGTATATTTAATTTAGAAGAAAGATTTATGTGTCCCAAAGCATGTCTATTATTTCCAGCAATTTCAATTGGTCTAATAAAAGATATTACCTCATCTCACAAACCTTTATCTCATTCAGGGGCTTACATCATCACAAATAGAGCAGCACTGCTTTTACTGTTGGTGTGGCAGACTCCATGTCCTGTCCTCTTGGTGCTTCCTGTCACTCCCAGTTTGTGCCTCTCTGTGTCTGGTTTATCCTGCACTCTTGGGTGTGTTTCTGTCTCCATGTGCTGAGTTTTGAAGGTGAGGAGATGACTCTCTCAAGCTGCTTTCTTACCATTCTTCTGCAATAGGTTTGTTAGGTTTGTCCCTTAATATCTCTATAGATTGCACCTTTTGGGGGTTTTGTTTGTGTCATGAGCATGTTTGAGAATGTTGAAAGCCATACAAAGGACAGAAGGAGGTATTCAGGGTGGGTGTGTGTGATCCCACAATGTGCCTTTTCCTGATAATCACTTGTAACTTTTCCCATTTTAGAGCTGTGGATGGAACACTGAGCTGAGGAGCCGAACCTTTTACTGCAGGCCTGTGTGTAGACCCTGATGCTTGAATGAATGAATGAAGAATGAAAATGCTCCCTGGAGTGGGTGTGTTTGGAACTGGTAGTGCTGCCCGGGTCCTGGTGCCCCTGCTGAGGGCAGAAGGCTTCTCCATTGAAGCTCTTTGGGGCAAGACTGAGGAGGAGGCCAAGCAGCTGGCAGAGGAAATGAACATCTCCTTCTACACGAGCCGCACCGACGACGTCCTGCTGCACCAGGACGTGGATCTGGTCTGCATCAACATCCCTCCACCCCTGACTCGGCAGATTGCTGTCAAGGCTCTAGGTACCTGTTTATCTTGGAGTTGCACCAATTATCTGTACCAATCCATCTGTAGCTTGTTGGCAGATTAAGATTTGAAGCCGTTAGCCCAGCACAGTTCTGGTTGCACCAACAGGCAAATGCGGTGCTAAAAATTTTGTGTGGCATTTGTGAGAAGCTTTACCTGGGGTTTTTTTTCGTAAAAATACTGTTAATAATTGCTTATAGATCTGCTTGAACCAATAAATAAATACTAAAAACACTAAAAATACTAAAATACTAAAGTACTAAAATACTAAAATACTTCGCTTGGGTCAGACTGAAGTTATGGTAGGGAATTTTAATAAAAATCAGCTGTATCAGAGACAATAATGAGAGGGTAAGTAGCTTTATGCCCATTAAAAAAACCCAGAGCAACAAAAAAAAAAAACAACAAAACCAAAAACCAAACAAAAAAAACCAAACCAAATTGTTTACTTCATTTTAAATTTTTGCGTGTACTAGGAAATTGAGATTTGCCCGGAAGGGGAGGGTTGTTCAGCTCTGCTTTTTGCTTTCTCCACGAGTAAAATCAAACTTGGAAGTTGAAAGCCTTTGAAAAAATATTTGTGTGCACTCAGTAGAATCTTGTGAATTAGGAGCTAAGAGATGCTGGTTTAGCTGTGACTCTGGCCACTGCCTGGAGCACTCTTGGCACATCCATGTCCATGGCAGGCTGATGTGGTCTCAGGTGGAGGAATCCTGCCTGACTCAGGAGGGCAGATGCTGGGGACAGCAGGAGGAATCCAGCTAGATGAGGAAGAAGGGATGACACCCCAGACTGGTTGGGCAGGGAGATGGGAGCCAGCTGCCCAGGCAGCCTGACATTTCTAATTGCCCAGTGTGGGACTTTGTAGTGTTAATGTCCTCTCCTGCAGTGCAGTGTGGGTGTCAGTTTGCGTGCAGTTCTGTAAATAACAAGGGTGATATTTTTACTGTGTTAACAGGAGATACACGAGTTAATTTTAGGACAGGTAATCTCAGACCATGTGAGCCAGGGTGGTTTGTTGTGCCTCTTTTCTCTACAGTAATTTCTTTTGCAAGTAAACAAGTTCCTGGACAAACATTTGCAATGCCACTTAGATATGCAGAGAGAGATTTCAGGCTTTTTTTTCCCTCCTCTTTTTTGTACTGTTAGATTTGTTTGTTTACCTTGTTAGAGTACTGTCCTTTGAATTTTAAGGTGTTCTGATTTTTAAATATTTGAACTGTAAGTTAGAATTTATGTCTTCAAATATGCTAAAAGCTCTTTAAAGCACTTGTTAGGTAATATGCATTTCACTAGGTCTTGTGGCCCTTGATGATCAAATGGGCTAAAAAGGTGAGAATTCACCATTCTCTGATGGATTATTAACTAAAAGGGGATTGGGATTCCTTCACTGAAGGCTGGGAACCCATAAAATGACATTATCCAGAGGAGGAAAGGAAGGTAAAGCTGGTGCAGAAATACAGAGGTTGGATGTTTGCTTGAATGTGAGTTTAGGAAGTGGAAGGCTGGAAAAGTCAGGGAGATGCATGGAGGAAGCAGGAGAGGGTAGCAATCCCTTCCTGTGTCCTGAGATGTTCTGGTCTGTAAACTGATGCAGAGATCTCAGGCCAGTGTGGTGCTGACTTTGCCTTTCAGCTCTCCAGGTTCATTGCAGTGCCATTTGCAGGTCTGCTGCTCAGTATATCGTGACTTATTTAAAGCCAGTCTTGGGTGGTTTCCTGTGCCTGAATGTTCTGAAGGAACACAGAACCAGGGGAGGGCCAAAGGTGGCAGCAACATATTTTTTGGAAGTTGAGATTGATACAGTGATGATTATAATCAGAGGATTATTTGCTGTGGATTGTTTATAACAGATTGGTGTTTACTTGCCAAGAGACTGGGCTTTAGGAAATGTCAGAAGTGGTGCAGTAATAATGGTCTTGTGTGTTGTGTTTTGTTGGGCTTTGTTTGTTTGTTTTAAAGTGGTGACACTTTTATTACTTAATTTTGTACCTTTTTCTACTTTTTTTAAAAACCTATGCTTCCATTTGGTAAAGAGGAGAAAAGACCCCAGTTTTTGTAGGTGGTGCAGTTTCCTTGCTTAAGTTTCTTGCTGACAGGCATCCATGAACAGGCCTGGGGACAAAGCAGTGACACTGGTTTGAGTTCATGAACCAGACAGCACAGATCAAAGCCCAGGGGATAGTTCATATTAAAATCAGTGTAATCTTATGGTTTATCTCCACAGCAGGCAAAGCAAGAAGCTCTCTTTAAATTTGTGCTTCTTTTGATCTCAGAGGAACTAAATCAATTTCACCTAATGTCAGTGTTGTGGTTCATGTCCCACAGTTAAATGCATCCATCCATGCTCTCATGTCTCCTGGCTGGTGAGGGCCTCAACTGAAAATTTTGCAGCTGTGGTTTAGGAAAACAATATGGTACAAAGTTCAGGTTATTCATTACCAAAACAATAGTAACAGTCCCAGGGATGTAAGCTGCTCTGCCTTGAAAAACAAGAGGCATGGCCATTACCTTGGTCAGGGACCTTGTAGCCATCTCTGACCTGGCCCCTGTCCTTGCTTCATGGCCATCTCTGTGAGCCTGGGGACAGCTGGAGAGATGTCCCACTGAAGGCAGCAGCAGGATTATCCCAGAGCTGTTCTGTGTTCCCAGTGTCACCCTGGCAGTGCACAGTGGGCTGTGCTGAGCTGGCACTGTGCTGCCATCCCAAAAAAAGGCAGCAGCCACTTTGAGCTCCTCAGGTGGCTCAGCCTGGGCTGCCACAACAGGCACAGCACTGAGCGAGGGTGAGGCTGCTCAGCAGAGCAGGGAGAGCCCGGGGTGACAGAGCTGTCCCCAGGCTGTCCCCAGGCTCTGCTGGCTCTGCTCTCAGTCCCTGCTGCAGGGAGCCAGGGCTGGGCAGCACCAGCACAGAGCTGTCCCATGGAGCCAGAGTCACTTTGGTGTTCTGCAAGCTTTGGGTTTTCTGCAAGCTCTGAGGGTGCAGATCTGCTCGGGACACTGTGAGCATCCCTTTGCTTTCCCTGGTGGTGCTTTGCTGTAACCTGCCTGCAGACAAGCACCATTTAAACAAGGCAGATTAACTGGACTGAAGCAGCTCTAGATGCTTGTCCAGGTGCTTCAGCTAGCCCTGAAAAGTACTGAACTGAGGGTTGTGCCTTGCCTGGCAGCAGGACTGGGGACAGAAATGGTCCCTGAAATGGGGGTTACCAATGGACAGCCAGGGTGCCCACTGGGAGTTTGACCTGATCCTTTGGTCATTAAAGCTGCTGCAGACTCGTATCAATACAGGGGATTTCTCACTTGTATCTTTCAATTTTCTGGCTGGGTTTCACTTGTGTCTCTTAGAAGCAGAGGTTGTGACTCCTGTCGCTGTCCCCTGGCTGAGCAGTGTCACGGTGTGCGCTGGCCCCTGGAGGGCTGGCTGAGTGCAGCCGGGAGGGGGAGCACGGAGAGCAGGAGCCGCGGTGGGGATGTGCCAGAGACCGACCGAAGTGGCTGTGCCGGGCAGGGAGCACAGCTCCTGTGCCGGGCAGGGAGCACAGCCTGCTCCTGGCTGAGGAGGAGCTTTCAGACAGGTGCCCAGCGCCCTGTGCAGGGATTCCTGCAATTCTTGGGCAGAAACTGAGGTGTGCCATCACTGATCTTCAGGTCTGGCATCCCCAGTTAGTGTCTGCAATAACCATGTTAGGAATAACATGGTTATTACACTGAAAAATGTGTAGATAAGTATTTGAACAGAACAGATGTAAAACAGGAAAAAAACAGTAAAACTAAAGCCCTGCCATGAGAAGGGGGACACCAGAAATGTAAGAACTGGTTAAAACTTGTACTGTCATGCTCTTTTGTATTACTTAATTTCTGCTTTCCAGTTAGGGGAAGAAAGGGGATTATTGACTGCCCCATTGATTTAGGCTGAGCTCAATGTAAAGTGCATCAGGAGCAATAACAGTGCAGTGGGTCAGCTTGGGGGTGCAGCTCTTGTCTGTGTAACTCAGTCACCTTTTGTCTGATTGTACATACAGGCTGTATGTGCAGACCAAAATTATTTGTTTTCTAATTAGAAAGGATTGTTTTAAAACAGTCCACTTACCAAAGCATTATTTCTAATTCTTGTGTTCTGTACACAGAATCTGTATGTCTTTTATATATGTACATTTTTATATATAAGTAAATTGCATATCCCATTTATATTAATTAATGATAATAATAAAAAAAAAGTTGTAGAGGAATAGTGAAATACAAAGTGAAAATCAAATCTCCCATTCCCCCACCTCTTCCCTGCAGGGTACATGGCTTTTTTTTTGTCCTCTAGCTATACAGGTATTAAAATAATTTTTTAAATATAGCACTCATGTTGTGTCTTGTTTAGATGCCATGTGATGCCATTTGGACATTTATCTTTCATGATGTAAAAATCCTCTCTTTATTTGGAGCCTCCCTCTGTGAGAGTTTGTCAGGTCTGCACTGGAGCATCTTGGAAACACCATTGAGTCTTGCTGAACTTGGCATTCCTACTTTAGTTCCCAGATCTTTCCCTTAGAATTTGCAGCAGGAAAGCCCAACTCTTAAAACCACCACTTCTTGACAACCTTTGGGGCATCTGAGCAAGTGTGCTAAATATTGTATTTTTTTTTTTCATTTGTGCTGCAGGAATAGGGAAGAACGTGCTGTGTGAGAAAGCTGCTACCTCTGTGGATGCCTTCAGGATGGTGACAGCTGCCAGGTACTACCCCAAGCTGATGAGCATCGTCGGCAACGTGCTGCGGTTCCTGCCCGCCTTCGTGAAGATGAAGCAGCTGATCGAGGAGCGCTACGTGGGCAACGTCATCGTCTGCGACGCGCGCGTCTACGGGGGCAGCCTGCTCAGCCCCCAGTACAGCTGGATCTGTGACGAGCTCATGGGAGGGGGCGGCCTGCACACCATGGGCACCTACATCATCGACCTGCTGAGCCACCTGACCAGCAGGAGGGCTGAGAAGGTGCACGGATTGCTCAAGACGTTTGTCAAGCAGAACACGGCCATCAGCGGCATCCGCCACGTCACCAGCGACGACTTCTGCGTTTTCCAGATGCTCATGAGCGACGGCGTCTGCTGCACCGTGACTCTCAACTTCAACATGCCCGGCTCCTTCACCCACGAGGTCATGGTGGTGGGCTCTGCCGGCCGCCTCGTGGCGCGTGGCACAGACCTGTACGGGCAGAAGAACTCTGCTCTCCAGGAGGAGCTGCTCTTCACAGACTCCCTGCCTGTCAGCAAGGGCCTTCTGGAGAAGGGCTTCAAGGACATCCCTCTGCTCTACCTGAAAGGAATGGTGTACATGGTGCAAGCCCTGAGGCAGTCTTTCCAAGAGCAGGAAGACCGTCGGACGTGGGATCATAAACCTGTGGCTATGGCAGCCTCTTTTGAGGATGGCCTGTACATGCAGAGTGTGGTGGAGGCCATCAAGAAATCCAGTAGGTCAGGTGAGTGGGAGACTGTGGAGGTGATGACTGAGGAACCGGATGCCAACCAAAACCTCTGTGAGGCGCTTCAAAGAAATAACTTATGAACATTCCTACCTTGGAAAATACTACTTCTGGCTGTAATGTAAAAAAACATGGTTTTTAAGATATGTAGATTCTTATTTAATAGCCTGAGTTTCTTGGTTTTTTTAAACATGTAAAATATGTTCTCATAGGAACAGTTCTGGTTTAAATTGTTTGAAGAGTTTTAAATGTTTCTGTTTTTTGCAAACATTTAATTTTTGTCTTGGAGACTGGTAGGAAAACTTGAATTGCCCTTTGCACTTGCAGTAGCTGAAGTGAATTGTGGGATCTCTGCCATTGCATGGCTTGGAAATGGGACACAACCCCTGTTGCACAGGTTGCTGATTTAACCATGAGAGCACATAGAGCAAGATCAGGGAGTATCTGTTGTTCAGATGCCTTTTCCTCTCTCTCTTGGAGACTGATTTATGTTTTAATCCTCAGTTTGTAAAATTTTAGAAAAGAATTCAGTGATGTAACAAGTCTCTGAACTCCTATAGGACAAAAAGTAGAAGGAATGGATTAAAGTTAGCAACATACAGATCAGCCTTTTGGCTTCCTGTATGTGGTGAATGTCTTTCAAATTCATTCAAACTGATATTTTATTTAAATGATACTATAATTCTCTGTTGTTGGTGTCTTGGCAGGAAAATATTCAGGAAGTCTGTGATGCATTTGAGCTATTCTTCCATATCTGTAGACATTATTCCTTCTACTCAAGAGGCTGCCTGCATCCAGCAGCTGTTTTTCCATAAGCTCAGTGCTTATGTCAGTTGTGTTTACTGCCTGGCAGCACCAGTGCCGTGCCTGTGGGGCCACGTTCTCATTGCTGTGACTGTTACTAAATAAATGCCTCCCTGGGTCATGGGACTGCCACAGTGTCCTGGTAACAAAGTTGTACAGCATGAACCTTTCAGGGACCTGAAAGTGGAAGGAAGGAGGTATTTCCTACCTCTTGCAGCTCTCTTCATGTGCTGTCTGGGTAACTGTCACACTACACACATGCTGATGGTTGAGAGAACAGGGACTGAACTGCCATGGGTAAAAGTGCTCTGGATCTCAAACACTGGCTGTTAACCTCTGGGCCAGCCCATCTTCCCTCCCTCCTGCAGCTGGTGTCCAGTGGAGAGATTTGTTGGCAGATGATGGGTGGAAGTTCATTCCTTTTGAGAAATGTTTCTCTCTGAGGCAGGTATGTGGAAAGGATGGTCTAATTTTACTACATTTGTTTTGTGTACTTGAAAGCTTTTTTTAAAATGTATTTCCCACTAAATTGTAACCCCGTGTATTTATGTATATTAACACGCACGCTGCTGTTCCATAAGCTGGACCTTCCTGAAAAGTATCATGTTTTCTACAGAAAATAAAAAGTTGTGTTTGTTGAGGGAATTCTCTATGCAGCTGTGTGCTTGTGTTTGATTTGGTCAAGCTAAAACCATCTTAATAAAAGTGAACAGGAGACTCAGAGCTGAGACTCGGCATCTGGTGAGTCCTTCCCCACTTATTGTAGAAGTTGCCAGAAGACCCCAAGTAAGAAGCAAAATCCCTGCAGTATTGATGGGACCTCTTTCTTTGCTTGGTGTGTAAATTAGGTATTTACCTTTGGATATTTACTTTCCAGACTGACAGAAACAAGTCTACTGCTGTGCTATTTTAAAACATGGCTGCTCTTGTGCTCTGCACATTCTCATCTCTACTGTGAGCTGTGTGAAGGAAGTGCATGGTTAGATTGGATATTAGGAACCCAGAAGGTGGTTGGGCACTGGAGTAGTCTCCCCAGGGAAGTGGTCATGGCCCAAGGTTGCCAGAGTTCAAGAAGAATTTGGACAATGCTTTGGGAGACACAGGGTGGGATTCCTGGGGCTGTCCTGTGCAGGGCCAGGAGTTGTGCTCAATGATCCTGCCACAGGTGTGAGCATCTACTGCCTGTGGAGTCTGTGTGCCATGTGAAATGGATGAGATAACATGTCCTGAGCTCACCTGGCACTCACCACCTTCATTCAGATAGAAGAGCCCTGATTGTTTTCATGCCAGTTTGGGGTCTGTTTTGAAGCTGTCCTTCTGGAACTGAGAACCTTCCTTTGTGCCTTTGTCATTAAGTTTGTATTGGGCTGAACAAATCTAAAGTACAGCTCCTCCTCTGTGAGAAGAAAGAAACACAAAACATCTCCGGACGATCCCAGTGAAGGAAGGAGGGTGCCGAGACTGCTGGGTGATAAAAAGACATGACGGCAGAATTGAGCGGAGAGGTGAGAGGGGCCTCTGTGGGCTGGCTGCAGCCCGGGCTGCCCTGCTCGGCCACAGCGGGACGGTGACCGCAGGCGCGCCCGTTTGGGCGGAGCGGGTTCCAGCGGGATTGCCCCGTGCAGTCCCGGTGTGTTTAATGCAGATATTGTGCATTAGGGGCCGGGGGCTCGGTGTCGGGCACAGTCGGCGGTGCCGAGGGAGCAGCGCCGGGGCCCTCGGGGCCGGGCCCGCCCATCCCGGCGGAAGCGGCGGTTGCCGGGGAGCGGCGGGACCGGGCCGGGCCCTCGGCTGCCGGCGGGCCCAGCCCAGCCCGGCCCGGCGGGGAGCGCTTCTCCGCGGCCTCCCTCGGTGAGTGCTCTCGGGGGGCCGCGCAGCGCCCTGCCCGGCCCGGGGCCGCCCGGCGGGGCTCGGGAGCGGCGCAGGCCGGGGACGGCGGGAGCCGGGCCGGGGAGCGCCGGGCCCGGGGCACGGGGAGGCCGCGGGTCCCCGGCACCGCGGGACTGCGCTGCTGGCAGCGCCCCCGAGCCCCGGCGAAGGGAGCCAGGGGGGTCCCAGCGGTGTCCTTTCCCCGGCGGTGCCCGCTGTCGCTCAGCGGTGCCCGGTCTCAGCACGTGTTGATCTCAGGGCCGGTGTTGCTCTCCCGTGCCAGCCCGGCCGAAGGAGCTGGGGCTCCCGCACAAGCTGCAGCCTCAGTACTGGGCTCGTCCGTGCATCCCGGAAGAACCGCACGCGTTGAGGTGAGGCTCCGTGCCCTCCTCTGTGCTTGCCCTCCGGAGAGAGGACTGGGCTGCAGCTCTGTGATCCCCACAGCAGTCCCTGCCCACCTTCCAGCGCCGAGCACGGCCCTCGTTCAGCTCCTGCCCCAGCAGGAAATTCCTCTGACTCCCTGGGCAGACTGTCCAAGCCGGCTTTATTCCTAAAAACCTGTTGGTAGACACCAGCTCCCAGAAATGCAAATGCCAGTGTCACCCCTGGCTGTACCTGTCCCTCTGTTTTCAGAGAGACAAAAGGGAAAATGGGTTATGAGACTGGCAGATGAGGAAGAGCTGGTGGGACCTGGGGAAACTCACGTGGGGAATGATGTTAAAAGGAGAATATTAATCTCTCCCATAGCAGTCAGCAAGGGGAAGGCTTAGGCAGGGACAAAAACCACTGGTACACAGCACATTGACCTCTGCTCCTGACTCCCAGTTTTTTGGGAGGAATGGTCTCAGATCCATTGGTGCTGTTTTGGTGCCGCCCTTGGGTGTGGAAGTTATCCTGACGTGACTTTCCATTTCAGCTAAAACTGTTGAGGAAGGAATCAAACATGCAGGACCAGCTGCACGGAGATTAGCCCTTTGATTTGCTGCAGATGACTTGCTCTGCTTATCACAGCTTATCACAACCGTGGGATGTTTTTTCCCATGCTTTTTGCAGAGATTGGCTCATGAAGGCAAGAAGCTGGGCTGGCATCAGCTCTGTGTGTGGTAGCAGCTTCCTGGCCAGGGACCCAGGCACAGTGAAAATGTCATCTGTGGAAAAGAGGGAATGCTTCAAAGTCAGGGGGTTCAAGGCTGTGAATGCACCTGCCTGAGGCTTGTCTGTTCCCGTGTTTTGCAGTTACCTTAACTACTATGCTAAAAACAAGCCACAAAAGGAAGCTGTGGTTCTTACAGGCTCAGCTTACCACGGGGATAAGTAGCATTTTTACCACTTGGTCAGCTGCAGCAAAGGGCACAGAGTCAAGTTAATGGTTATTAGGCCATTAAACCAGAGAACTGGAGCCTGCATTGCTTGACTCCTAGGCCAACATAAAGCCATGTTCTGGTGGAGAAGGGAGCAGCACACTGAGCAGTGTTGAAGTTATTGGGTTACTCCAGCAACTGCTCTGTGCCTCCTGTGGCTGTGCAGGGTGGCTGGGAGCTGGGACTGTTCCCTAGGGAGTCTGCAGGGACAGGAGCAGAGAGGAGCGGCATGCATGCCTCTCTTTGCCTGGACTTACCCAGCCTGCTTCTGCAGAGTGTGCCTGGATCTCACAGCCTGTGAGTGCATAAATTGCGTGTCTGGTGGCAGCAGGTCGGGTGCTGCACTGCTGATGTTTAGGTTGCTGATGTGGTGGTGAAGCAGATGCTCTGCTGGGTGCAGGAAATCCCTCAAGAGGGCTGACCCTGTCCCCTCATCCTCTGTCTTCATAACTCCTGTGTTTCCCTGGTGCTTGCTCCAGTGCTTCTCTGGATGTAAAAGTCACGTTCCTTTTGCACAAAAGGTTACATGGGCAGAAAACAAACTCAGTGAAAGAAGTGACTTGTTTGGTGCAAGGGGAATTGGCTCAGCACAGGACTGTTGGTGCTGCAGAGCTGTCCCAAGAAACAAAGCAGGTGAGAATGACAGCAGAGGCCATGCAGTCCCTCTTTCAGGAGTGAGCCATGAGGGTCTCCCACTCTGTCCCCCAACTGGGTTTGTGGCCAGCAGGAGCAGAGCAGCAGCTGGGGAAGTGCATTCCTGGAAGTCTGGCTGGGCCACTGCTGCTGGGATCTGTGTCCCTGTTGTCCCTGCATGGACAAGATGCTCCCTGTTGTAATGAGGCTCTCTGATCTTGCACGATCCCATGCCAGAGGTGATGTGACTTGCAAATCAGGGAGTGGGTGTCATTTGCAAGTTGCCTGCAGCAGGGCAGGGTGCAGTTGGGATGTGAGGTATAAAATGAGCCTTCCATCCCCCGCCTCCCCTCAGCCTGCCTTTCCTCCTCAGTCCCCCGCAATCATTGTCTGCTGGCACAGGGCTTGATTTCAGCCTGTCATTTTACGTGTAAATCACTGGGGTGGGACCTGAGTTCAGACCAAGATCAGATGTGCATTTCAAAGCCAGTAGCTGCTCTGGAGTGATCTCATGGTGAACGCTTGCTTTTCTTTTTTTTCCTCTAGAATAAGAGAGGCTGTTCTGGCTTAGTCGATCCATTATCGAGGAGATTAAATAATACCAAGCCAGCATCCTTTTATCTCGGGCTGAGAGTCAGTGCCTGCTTTTCAGAAACAGCTTTTCCAGAGCAGAGCAGCTGGCCAGAGGCTGCACATGCATGCTGGTGTGCAGCATCAGCACTGCTTGCATTGCCTCTGCCCTTGTGTCCAGGAGATGAATAACAGCATTTTGCTAATGGGTCTCATGTCAACAGGGGTGATTTAGCAGGGAAGACTGCAGTGCATTAGTTGCTATGAGTCAGATTCACTCAGCCTTGCACTGATCCTTTATTGGTTTATAAATTAAACTGCAGATGCTGCGTCCCGTCAGTGCTGGCATGCTGAGGATCCTGAAAGGAGTTTCTTCCCGTGGACTTGTCTCAGCAATGTTTAAATGACTGCCTCAGGGGTCAGGGAGGGCAGGCTGTAGCCCCAGCCCTGACAGCAGTGACTCCAGCCAGGCTGCCCTGGCGCCTGTCACAGTTGTGGTGTGGCTGTGATGAGGCTCTTGTGGCACCTGCTGAGAGCTCATCAGCAGTGTGTGCCTGCTGGGTGGCACCCTGCAGGCTCGTGCTCTGAGCTCTGCGTTTGTTGTAGGTGTAAAAATGCTCTCCGGGAGATGTTGGTGAGCAGTGCGGGGAAATTGATGCTGGCTGCTCCTGGTGGAAGGGTCTGTGCTTCTGTCATGGAGAGAAGAGAAGCAACAGGGACCCTGTGGGCCAGGGCAGGGACTTGTGGCTCTATGCTGCTTTGAAAAGTACTTCAGAAATGAAAAACATATTCTTCTCTGTTCTCCCCAAGACCTGAGAAGCCATCTGCGCTCTTCCCCAGAAATCCAGTCTCTGCCCCACATGGTCCTGGAGGGAAATGTGTTGTCTTTTTGTGAAGTGCTTGTCCTTCCGAGGGTCAGCCCCAGCCTGCTCAGGGATGTGACAGCACAAGTGTGTTCTCAGGGAGGACATGGCCATGTGGGGCTGGAGCTTCAGCTTCCTCTGGACAAATTGTGTTTGAACCACAGGAGCCATTTAGAGGGAGCCCAGGTACAGGATAATTCAAATCTCAGGCTAAAAGCTGTCTGATGATGGCCAGCTACCTCGTGTTTCCTGTTCACTCCTTCTGTGTCTACATTCAGTGTTTCTATATGGGAGAAAAAAGCCACAAAGGATTTTTTGTACTGAAGGTACCAATATTCCAGCAACTGTGAGCATTTTCAGCACTGGTTAAAACACTGACCCACAGTAGGGACAAGGCTGCTGGATCCTTCACCTGCACAGAGTCCAGTTTGGGGTGGTTTGTACCTGCAGGAGATCTCTGGAGCTGGGGGTGAGGTGTCAAATGAAAGTCAGAAATTCCCCTATACATACATACATACATACATACATACATAATCAAATATATATTTTATAAATTTATATATATTTATGTTTATATATATATTTATGTATATATATATATTAAATGTAGCTTTCCAGTGGTTCAGTGAGCCCTGCTCATTTCTGTTCTGTTCTGGTGGTTGTTTTCTGTGGCAGAGGCAGAGCACTGTGTGGCAGGATGTGTGAAGGGCCATCCAGGATTTCTGGACCCATTCCTCCAGACCCAGGGCTCTTCCCAGAGTATTACAAACGGCCCCTCTCAGGTGAGTCCTTGGTGCTTGGTACAGGTTTGGGGCTTTGTGCTTTGGTGTGACACAGCCTGGTGTCCTCAACAGTCTCTGTTCACACTGGTGAAGGTGCTTCTGGTGGTGATCCTAAAGTATTTTGTACAGCTGGTTCAAAGATGGGAAAGCATAAGGCAGAGGTGAAGAGGGGGTCATCACGTTGTTTGTGGGCTGTGGGTGCAGAAAACTCAGGTAAGCTCATTTCCTGACAATGTTCTTCTCTTTCTTTCCCTGCAGCTCGAGGGAGGCTGGAAGGGAATGCTCAGAGGCTGTTTTTGACCTCCAGCTCTCTGGACCCCGTCCCCAGCCCCTGCCTGGCTCTGGGCAGTGCCCAGCCAGCCCCTCGTGTCCGCCCCAGCGGGAGGGAGTTCCTGGAGAGGGGACAGAAGGGGACACTCAGCCTCCTGCTGCAGCTCCAGGGCATCTCCCTTGATGGGGCAGTGCCAGCCAAGAGTAAGTACAGGCAATCCACTGCTGCCTTCAGCTGCCTTGGGGGCCAGGCATGAAGGATTTGGGGTGGATTTCCAGGATCTGCTGCCTGAGGAGAGCTGGAGCTCCACAGGGCTGGTCACCCCATCTGCAGCTTTGGGCCTGGCAGTGGGGTCACCTCTGCTGGAGTCAGTGATGTTTTGGCTCCAGTTTCAGGTTTAAAATGGGAAGAGGGACTTGAAAAAAGGTGCAAAAATTAGGACTTCTTTACAGTCAAGTTTCTATATGAATCAAACAAAACCTTGATGCATTGAGGATGTTTGACATGGTGAGTTCCTGGTTGGAGAAGCCAGGCAGGATTTGGGAAGGGTGCCTGTGTATGTGGATGTGAGAACAGCTTTGCAGAAGATGTCCCCTTCTCCAGGGCAGGGATGTCACCCAGAATACATTCAGAGGTCCAGGAAGGAGATAAGGTTGAGCCCTGTGTGTCATTTTAATTTAATTCATGTGCTGGCATTGCCCTGAGCTGGTGCTAGTGTGGTAAATGCCACAACTGCTGTGCCCAAGCACAGATGAGCATCTGGTTATGTCAGCTGAGATGTTCCCTGCCTTGGGGAGCCCAAGGAAGGATAATTTTTGACTCAAAAACAAAACAAAACAGAGTCCTAATCCATAATCGTGGTTGAACAGTGTGGGACAATGTCCTGAAACCAGGCACAGGGCAGGTTCAAGGCTGTGCAGCCCTGACTACTTCAGAAACACCTTGTGAGCTGAGCTGGGAATTCGCCTTGCTCTTGAGAGGGGCTGGCATGGTCCATACTGGGACAAGAGGAGAACAGGGGGGTCTGTGGACACCAGCAGTGAGCACAGACCTGTTCTGTGCTCACCTGGGCATGGTGGGATCCCCTGGCAGAGGAATCAATCTGAGAGTGTGCATCTACAGGGGCAGGAGCAGACATAAAGGTCTGCTCTGCAGGAGAGGGAAGGGCTTGCTGGGTCTCTTGGCTGTTGGAGCAGCTTTGGGAGGGATCTGTGGCAGTGTCTGGGAGGTGAAGGTGTGTCTCCCCTTGCTGAGCAGGGAAAGAGGCCAAGGACTACGAGAAGGAAAACGTGAGGAGGATAAAGGAGATTCAGAGGAAGTGCAAGGAGAAGGAGCGAGCCCAGGAGCACAGCCAGCCCAAGCCTGTGAAAGCTCTCTGGAAATCCCAGAAATATGAAAATGTGGAGTCAAAGGTGAAGGCCAAACTGCAGGTTGGTATCTGTGGAGGAGCTCTTGAACTCTCCAGGCTTGGGGAACAGTGGGGTGATGGAGACAGGGGAGTCCTGGAGCCTGCAGGATCTGGGGGCATCTCAGTGCTGAGGCACAGTGGGCAGGTGTGGCAGTGGGGCAGTGAGTGAGAGTGTGGTTTGGGTCCAGACAGTGACTGCTGCCATAATCCCTCTCCTGCTTCCCCCTCATAGCTGTGTTTCCTGCCAGGGGATGCTCCCATCTGGCTTTTCAGCTTTCCCATGTTTGGGGCAGCACTTTTTTGGGGTTTGTGCCAACAGGCTGTGATGTTTTACCCAGAGGTGAGATCAGCAGGCTGCATTGAGCCTCAGTCCATCTATTCCCACCCTGTGGATACACAGTGGGCAGTGTGTTCCATGTGTGAGCATCTTCCCCAAATGATTGTCCTGGTGAATAACTGTGGGATTCACATTCTCTGAACAGAGAGAGACAATTTTCTCTCTCAGGTTCAGAGAATGTGAATCTCACAAATGACCACTGCTCTGGGGGCACACAGACATCTGCAGGCAGTCAGGGTTGAGGCCTCAGAGATCAGCACAGCCTCTGAGGGTGCTGAGTTGGAGCCTTTAAGTTCCTCCTCATCTCTGCATTGCCTTCCTTTCATCTGTAGCCAGCTTTCAATGCTAAAATGACATGTATTGATAACAACTGTCAAAATTGGCAAGATGATTCCCAAGCCAGAGGTTCCAGCTACTCTGTCCCTTTTCCAGGTGTGTCACCAACCTGTTTGGTATCTGTGACCCTTCCACACAGGGGAGCAAGCCCACGAGTGCTTCAAGAGCACAAGCCCACGCTCTTGTTTGACAAATCCTCTGGGTTAGAGGCAGATTGAGCTCATTTCTGCCTTTGTTGTGGGGAAGGGGGGTGGTCTCTGCGCAGGCAGTTCTGCGTGGTGCGTTCCCTGTGCTCTGTGTGCTCCTCCAGAGGCCCTGGCACTGACTCATGATGCTTTAACTGTTGCTGGGGCTCTCCTGGAGCTGAGGTGTTCCCTGTGAAGGATCTCCATCTTCTGTGGAGCTGCTGCTGCTGCTGCTGCTGCTGCTCAGAGTTTCAGTTGATTCTGCTGGGTCTGGGTGACTCATGCAGAGTTTTTTCTCTGTCTCCTGCCCCTGAGGCTGTTAGCTGTAGCAGTTGTCTTGGGAAGGGTTCTGGCAGTCCCAGTGCCCTGTGGAGGGAGATGGGGCAAGCTGTGCTCTGTGCTCCTGAGGTCACAGACTCATCTTTGAGCCAGCTGTGCTAGGTAAAAGCAATTCTCATTAACTTATCAGAGAGATCCAGATTTGTTGAAACAAGACTGATCATCTTTGGAGCATGAGCAGTCTGTGCAGTGCTGAGGGCATCCCATACCCTGCTCCTCACACCAATCCCAGCAGTGTGGCTGCCCAGTCCCACCCTGTCTGCAGCTCTGCCCAGCTGAATGGGCCAGGCAAGAGGAAATCTTGCCCAGGGAGCTGCAGTTCAGACCTTGGGTATTTGTGAAGGTCTGGGGGTGGCCCTGTGCAGTTCCCATCACTCCAGGGGCAGAGCAGAGCCCCAGCTGTGTTTTTCATAGGGTCACCCACTTGCCACAGTGTGAACTTTCAGTTCTAAGGGTTTGTTTGCAAACAAGACTGTCTGGGATAGTCCCAGACCACCTGCTGGACATCAAGTACTGTCACCCTGTGCCTCAGCCTTTGAAGATGCCCCTCAGATGCAATTCCACCAGACTCCTTCACTCTCTGCTCCTTTTTCTTTCTGGAGTGATACAAGCACAGATTTGAGGTGCTGAGCAGAGAACAGCACCTCAGCAGGCAGCCTCATGCCTCCCTGCTTGATCCAAATTTGTTTCTGCAGAGTTCCTCCCCTGTTTCTTAGCCATTCATTCCATGACCAGGTCTGATCTGTTGCTGTTTCTTGGCCTTTTCTGGCTGATTACAAATCCTCTTCCCCCAAGAATTTCTGCCAGGCCGTGGCAGAAGGTGTGTGCTGTCGTGTGCCTGCTGCAAACCTGTGCTGAGCTCCTGCTTCACCACCCAAACGTGGCTGAGAGGGTTTTTCTTTGCCCCAGCCTCTCTCCACTGTGGGATCTTTCCTTGTCTTTCCCAGGAGACCTCTCCACCTGCCAATCCCGAGGCTGTGAATTTCCTGAGGGCGTATTCCCGCTGTGGCTCTGGGATCAAGCCATGCAGACCCCTGTCCCCAAGGCCTGCCAGGGCAAAAGCAGGAGCAGACACGGAGGCTCCAGAGGCACAGGGTGCTGAAACCAAGGTGAGTTACACACCAGCTGCATCCATCCATCCCAGGCATTTCTGGCATGGAAAATCCATTCCTCTAAAGTACTGGGGCAGATGTGCTGCAAGAGTAGGGAGATGTGTAAATGCTGTTCCTGGCTGAAGGGAAGGAGCAGGGTCCTGGTCACTGGGGTGGTGAGATGGATATTCAGGGACTCAATTCTAGCTTCATCCTCACTCTTAGTTCAGGAGCTCGTGAAGCTCCCTGTGAAAATTCCACCTCCTCATGCCAGCAATCTCAAATCTGTTCTTCCAATGGCTTTGCAGGAGGTCTTGGGGTTTTGGAGGCTATTTCCACTGTAATCAAAGGGACTGTGGCTTCTGGATGTTAGATAAAAATTTGGGAAATGAGTGTGTGTTTTAGTAAGGAGAGTTAAATCAGCATTAGTAGTTAAACCTTTCAAGTAGTCTGTTTGGGAGGTCCTAAACAGCTCCATGACTCATGTCCTTTTCCCTTGGCAATTGTGAGATTGTCAGTTTGTTGGTTCCTAAATGCCATGAATGACTTAATTAAACAGGACATGATTTACAAAGGAGGAGACCAGGGAAATCTTAAATGCAAACACAGCCACCTTCTCCACTGTTTAGTCCAGCAGAGGAGCTATGGTGGAGGTGTTGTTTCTGGGGAAGTGCCCAAGCAGCAAAGTTCCTGCTCTGCCAGGGGTTCTGTTGCATTTCTTGGTGAGCTCCCAACCTGTTTTTCCTCTGCCCTCAAAATGCTTCATGGGGACTACATCGAGCCTGAGGTTTTTTTGTCTTTCTGGCTTTTAAGGTGTGGGGTCATCTTGGGGACCTTAAAGAGGCCAGGATTAGGCTTGGCTTTAGGTGCCTGCCTCCCCAAAGCACGGCCACAGCTCCTGCCTGAGACAGGCTGTGCCGAGGGTCCGCCTGTCCTGCCGTCACACAATCCACGACCTTGTGTGCTGCATTTCTGCTTTCCCCTTGCATGGCCAGTGTCAGCTGTCTGTGTGCCCGTGCCCAGCCTGCCCCTGATGCCTGGCTCTCTGTTTCTGCAGCTGCAGGTGGAGGGCAGGAGCGTTGACTTCATCAGGCACAACGCGTGCAGCGCCAAGCGGGCGCCGCTGCGCCGCTCGCAGTCCCTGCAGGCGCTGGCGCAGCTGCTGCAGCACCGGCAGCAGGAGCAGGAGCAGTACAACGCCACGCAAAAGGGACACGTCCCCCAGTAGTAAGTGTGCCCCTCTCTGCTCCACGGGACTGGGACAGGCTTAATGCATCCCCTGGGTGTGCCTGGAGAGATGGGCTGGGCACAGAGGTGCTCTTGCAATGTGCAGCAGTGCCTTTTTCTGGGACTGGGGAGTCAACGCTGCCCCTGCTGCTTTCTTGGATTAACCAGCATCCCAGTGTGACAGGGCTCAGAGGGAGTTTTGTCTCCTCCTCCCTTGCTTGCTGTTGTGCAATGATGCTGATATGGGGAAGCTCTGTGTGCCTTGAGAAATGTGCTCCTGCCCCTTTGTAGGCTTTGTTCCATGTGATGTACCTTTGGCATGGAGAGGTCTGGGTTTGGAGAGGCAAAGGGCTTGCTCTGCTTCACAGGTGTTCATCCTGCCTTGGGCCTGGGTTCTGAGGAACATCTAGCTAGTGCTGTGCATTTTGGGGCTCTTCATGAGGAACAGACCCTGTCCTAGGTCTGACTGTGGTGCCTTTGGCTGTGCTGTCCTCTGCCAGCATCCCTGGCCGTGAGCTGTTGTCTGACTTCATTCTGCCATTGACCCACAGATGGTTTGGCAAGGACTCAGCGAGCCAAACATGAGGAGCAGCAGCCCTTGTCTCCAAGGAGCACTGTTGGCCTGAGTGCATCTCTGCCAGCAGCTCTCTGTAGATGTGCCTCCACATCCACAAAGGGCTGCTGGGAGAGATGCACTCAGGTCCACATATGTGGACCACACATTTGCTGTTCCACACATGTGCTTTAAACACAGTGTATCCCCCACCATGAGGGTGTGTGGCTCCCTGGGCTCCTCAGCCAGTGACATGGAACCTGGTGGGGTTTGAAGGGCACATTCCTGGCCACATCTGCCTGTGCCAGATGTGCTGACACCTCTCTCCTTTGCCCCCAGCCTGCTGGAGAGGAAGGAGCTGTGGCGCAGGCAGGCGGAGGAGCGGCTGCGGAACCTGCCCGACCCCGACACCCCCCCTGGGCACACCCTGATGCCCGAGGGACAGCGCCTCGAGACCCTCAGCAACCTGAAACAGAGTAAGAGGGAAAAAAACAGTGAGTCCAGCTCAGAAAAACAAACAGTCCCAGGCAGGATAAGGGAGAAGAGACACAGGGACACATTCCTGCCACTTGGAGAGTTGCCTGGATTAGGGCATATATAGGCAGAGTGTGAGCTGGATGCATGGAAAGAGGAATCCGTGTCCTGCAGGTTACAGGACTGGCTCTGGAGCACACTTGTCCACTGGACTTGATGTCAGGGTTGCTATTGCTCCTAAAATCTTAGAAAAATTTTGGCTGGAAGGAACCTTCAGGGGTGTCTAGTCCAATCCTTGGTTCTCAAAGCTGGAGCAGGTCCCTCAGGTCTTCATCCAGCTGAGGTTTAAATAGAAAGATTCTAGGTCCTTGTTCCAGTGCTGCCATTGTGTTCATAGCTCTAGAAAAAGGGTGGATTTCTTTACTTTTCAACTTACACAACTTTTTTTTCCTCTTTTTGCAGGCCAGGAGCAGCTGGTGAAGGACCTGGTTCTGCTGCCCATGCGTGGAGACAGCCTCAGGATGCAGAAGAGGCGGGTGGAGCTCGAGAGGAAGCTCTCCCAGATAGACGAGGCAATCAAAATTTTCTCAAGACCAAAAGTCTTCATCAAGTTGGACTCCTGAGCTGGTGGGGCCAGGTGTGCTGTGCTGCTCTGCCTGAACACCCTGTGTTGCTGGGCAGGAATGGACATCTCTTTTTGTGAGGAAAGGAGAGGAAGCCAAGTTCCAGACCCTGGGCCCATGCAGGTGCCAATAGCAGTGTCCAGTGCACAGCTGGCATCTCCTGCTCACCTTTCAGTGCTGTGTCTTGTCCACAGAAAAGGGAGGAAGATGCCCTAATAAAGGCCCTGCTCAGTGGTCTGGGGAGCAGTTGTCTCTGCTGCTTGGCTTCTCACAGATCAGCTCTCTGCTCTGGGTCTGTGGCATCACCTCTTGTTTTCCTTTTTTTCCTACTTCTAGAAACTGGTAGGAGGTCTCTTGTGCTGCTGCCTGTGGTATTCCTTGTATCCTCTTTCTCCTGAGCTGGACCATGGTCATGGCTCATCCTGAGCACCTGAGAGCTCAGGGGACAGCCTGGGGACAAGAAGGAGGCACAGAGCTTCAGTGTTGTCTGCCCAGGGAAGGGCTGAGCTGTCAGGAGGGTCTGGTCGGATGCCTGGAAAAGCCTTTGTTGTCTGTGGGGCAGGAGATCCTCCAATAAACCATCATTTCCATCTTGCAGTGTGTGTGCAGCTCCCAGTGGGCCCAGCAGGGCCTGAGGAATGGTGTGGGCAGCAAAACCATCAGTGCAGGCAGGGGATCATGGACTGGAGAATGTGCAAAGTCCTGCTGGATCTCCATCCAGGCTGGCAGGACAGGGCTGGAAGGTGCCATCACACAGGTGAGCTCTCTGCTGCCTTACCCTCAAATGCCATGCAGGAACCTTGCAGACCTTTGCAGGGATTTTGCTGCATGAAGCAAATAAGCTGTGAGGGATGGCTGGAGGGCTTGGTGCATCTCCTGCTCAGCAGAGGCACGGTGCCACACCTTGGAGCCACATCCAACTGAATTTGGAGAATGTCCAAGGGGGTGCTTGCCCCCATCACCTTGCTGGGGCTCTGTCTCCAGACAGTGCTGCCCTCAGGGAGAACACTTTTTCTCCTGAAATCCCATCAGGTTTTCCCTTCTTGCAGCTTGTGCTGTTGCTCCATTTCCATTTGCTACACAGAGTGGATTTGCTACTGTGTGTGGATTTTCCAAGCCTTTTTGCAGGGGTTGCTCCATCCTGGGCAGGATTTTGTGGAGTGAGGATATTGTGGAGTATCCTATGCCTGTGCCACCTGGCACACTGCAGTGTCCTGGGATGTCAGGGCTGACGCTGCTGCCAAGGGGTGGGGAATATTTTGGCACTCGAGGGCTGGAGGAGGTGAGATGCCAACTGGAAAATCACCTCATGTGCCCCTGGGGCCACCTGAGGGCAAACCCCAGCCAGGCTGAGCCGGCTGGGTGAGAGTGGCTGGGGGCCATGGGCACAGCCCCGGGCACCTCCCTGCCCCAAACCAGCCTGGGCTAACCAGCCCTGCTGCCACATCTGCCTCTGCTCTGTCTGGGCCCTGGCTGTGTGCCATGAGTGTCCTCAGCCCTTGCTGCACTCCCAGCCTGCCCTGGCCTCAGGCTCTGAACAGAGTTGGTGCTGGCTTTTCAGACCCCTAGAGCTGCAGGGCTTCCTCCTTGCCAGTCCCACCACAAGCCCTTGGCAGCAGTGAGTGCCACCATCAGCTTGGCACTTTTGGGAGAGGGACTGAGGGTGCTGGGAGCTCCAGCAGAGCAGCAGGGGCAGGTGTGAACCCCCTTGCCCCTTGCCCTGGGGCTGAAGGAGGAGGATGGGGCTGCACTATCCCCAGCAGCCTTAGCAGGGCTGAGTGACAGCCAAGGTGCTGCTGCCAGACCAGGTGTCCCCTGCATTAGTGAGGGCCCTGAAGTGGGGACAAGGTGGGAATGGGGGGACCAAGCAAGGCTGACTGCATCAGGCCATCAGCTGCCCAAAACAGCCTGGACATGTGTCCTGGAACAGGCACAATGAGTCTCAGTGGGGTCACCCAGCACAGCAGCAAAGGTCAAGGCCACAGCCCCAGGCACTGCCTTCTGTGCACAGGGCTGGTGAACCCACCCACTGTCCCCCTCTTCCCTGCAGTGACATCAACCAGGGACAAGCATGGTGCTTTCTAGAAAAAGTTTTACTGTCCATTGCAATATATTAATGATGCATATTTCAATAAAACAATTAAAAACCCCTGCTTGCTTGGAAGAGGAGGCAAGGGCGCTCAGAGGGGCAGTGCCCAGCTCGAGTGGGTCCCACAGTGGGGCTCCTGGGGTCACGGGGGGTGGGAGCAGGCAGAGGGCAGCCCCTCTCCACCCTTGCCCGCTGGCCACATCATCACCCTGGTGTCCACATCCAGATCAGCAGAACCCCGTCACGGGCCCCTGTGGCTATAGGGTGAGGAGGGTGCCATCCTCCCGTGCGCTGCCCCTGCCAGGGCTGCCGTCGTGGCTGCCCAGGGACTGCAGGGAGCCCCGTGAGCTGTGTGGGGACAGGCTCCTCCGCAGGGCTCCGTCGGCGGGGCCCCCGTTGGGGCAGCCCCCGGGGATGTAGTGCGAGGCGCTGTCGCTCTCGATGACCAGGTCTCCCTCCTCGTCGCTCTCGGCCGTGCTGTAGTTGCTCAGGTACTGCGAGGCCGGGCTGGGGGTCTGCTGGCTGGGGGTGCTGTCCGTGGACACGCCGGAGCTGCCCGAGGCCTTGCTGCTGCGGATGACGTTGTTGCGCTGGTTGGCCGGCTTGACGGTGATGATCAGGTTGTGGCTGTTGGCCACCATCATGTCCGTCACCTGGTCCAGCGACTTGCCGGCCACGTCGATGCCGTTCACCTCGAGGATCTCGTCGCTGACCGCCAGCAGCCCCGTGCTCTCGGCCAGGCCGCCCTTCACCAGGCGGGAGATGAAGATGCCGGGCACCTTCTCGACGCCCTGCGGGGCCACGCGCACGCTGACGCCGTCGCGGATGTAGAAGCCCAGCGGTTTGTCGGAGCCGTGCTTGTGCAGCCGCACGCGCCGGTGCGTCTCGGGCAGGATGTCCACGTCGATGATGGAGGAGATCTGGCGGAAGTCCTGGGGCATCCCGATCAGCAGGTGAGGCTTGGCCCGGTAGTGCGCTGGCCGCAGCAGCCCCTTCTTCTTCCGCTGCAGGGAGTTGGAGGCGAAGACGCTGGCGTCAGACTCTGCTGTAGGGAGCGAGGGAGGGAGGACACGGGTCAGGAGCTGGAGCTGCCAGGGGTGTGAGCACCTGCCCTTGGCCCCAGGTGCTGGGGCAGTGCTCAGCAGAAGGGCCCTGCTCACAGCTCTCACTGCCTTTTCCTCCCCGCATCACCAGCCTGGCTCTCCCGGCAGCCTGTCTCCGCTGGGGCCCATCTCCTGGGATTACCCAGCGTACACAGGCACACAGGCCAGGATTAGTGGGATCGAGGCAGTGATTCAGCCTTAATCACACTTTAAGCCAAACTCTGCAGTTTAACACTAGAGCTGCCAGCTCTGATGGCCTGGGAGCTGCAGCCATGCCCCAGTTTGGGTTTGGGAGAGAGGATTCCCCCACATAAGTGTGCTGTGGTGGCAACCAACTCCCTTAGGGTGAGTCCAAGCCCAGGAGACAGCACCAGAGTCCTCAGCCCCACCAGAGCAGGGCTATTGCTGGCATGGGTTGGTGATAGCCACCACTGTGTCCTGCAGAACTCTGCCATTCCCAAGGACAGAGACTCCCCACCTCCCGGAAATTCATCCCAGGGCTGCAGCATCCTGAGAGCCCCTGAATATCCCAGACTGTGATTTGTGCCCATGTCCCTTACTCCACCATCAGGCACCTTCATACAGGGTTTGACTCTGTCCTTCTGGACCGTGGCCTGGGGCTGCTCTGTGGGGCCCAGCTCCAACCCATCCCTCTTGGCCTCATCCACCAGGTGCTGGGCAGTAACCCCTGGTTCCTCTCTGGTTTCTCCCCATCTCTTTCCATGGGGGAGCCCAGATCTGGATGCTCCATGGTCAGCACATTCCACACAGGTGTCCCCCACCAGCACCTGGACCCTGCTGCAGCTGCAGGGCTGCCAGGGATGTCCCCAAGCCCAGGGGACATGGGATTTCTCCCTAGCCAAGCCAGCCTGCCAGGGCTCCTGGTTTATAAATATCTCCCTGCACACACAGCCTTGGCATATTTTTAGCTCGGGGAAGGGTGGCGGAGGCTTTCCCACAGCTATTTCAGCACTCAGCTCCTCTCCAAGGGGCACAGAGTGGCGGGGCCAGGCAGGTCCAGCACGCCAAGGATGGGCCCCATGGTGGCCCTGGTAATGTCCCACACTTTCTCCTGCCCTTCCAGTGAGCCTTGGCCAGGCAAGGAGGGGCAGCACCACTGTCCCAGCCAGGCTGCCCTGCAGGGATGCCCTCACCCAACGGGGTGATGGCACTGAGGGGAGCCCAGGTGCAGCCTTTGCTTTTTGCCCTGCTGTGGCAGGACTGGCTGCTGCAGAGCCCACTGCCAGGAGCACACCTGTGTGTGTGTGCACAGCTCCCTGCACCCGGGGGGTGAGAGGCTCTGCAGCCACATTCCTCAGCGACCCAGACCGGTTCAACGACAGCCCAGCCTCGGGATGACCTGGATCCATTTTAAATTAGCTGTGATTCACCCAGGACTTGCTCCTGGCCTCTCTGCTCACCTCCCTGTGGTGCTGGCATCCCCAAGGCCCCTCTCCTGCGGGCACAGCTGGGTGCTGGGGCTCCCTGGTGCTGCCTGCCTGCCTTCCTTATCATGCTGCCCATGGAGCCAGGCTCTGCCTGCTCCCTCTGCACACCGTGTGTCTTGGCACAGTCAGCTGGGTCCTCACAGGCTTCTCCAGCAGCTCATAGGATGGCTCTTGGGAGCAGGAGTGATGGTCCCACTGCAGCCTTGCACACCCACCCCTGCACGGGCTCTCCATGTCACAGCCTGGGTCCCAGCATTGGCCAGGAGCAGGGGATGGTTCAGTGCTGGCAGTGACAGCCCTGAGTGCACCACGAGCTCCAGCAGCCTGGATCACTGCTGCCAGCCCCCACACCATGCAGCCACAGGGGAAACACATCAGGGCATCCCACAGCACCCTGATGCAAAAGCCCAGGAAAACTGACACAGCAGCCAGGGCTGGCCACCAGCATCACCTCTCACCCAGAGACTTCATACCGCTAACCTGAGCTGGAAACACAGACTCACTCTGGATGCCGTGCTGACCCTGTGGCTCTGGGTCAGGCTCTGGCTCTGTGAACTGCTGACTGATGATGCTGTGAAAGAGAAAACCTCGGTGCTACTAAACTGTGGAAGGGGATGGGCTTGTTTTCCCTGAAAACAGGAGAAATACTTGGAGTATTTATCACTTGGAGGCTTTCATCCTCACCAGGACACTGCTATCAGGATGCTATCAGGTGTACCTGTGCAAGGAAGTGGTTCCCTGGGAATATGCCATTAAGGTAAGGGCAGGGAGGCACCAAGCCTCTTCCCAACACCACCAGAAATCCAGCAGCACCTGGCACCCTGAGAGCTCTGCCAAAATGATGGCTGCTGCCTCCTCAGGGCAGGAAGCTGGATGGGGCTGCTGGCACAGCACTCACAGGAGCTATACAGGTGTTATCTGGGAGCCCATGCTGGCTTGGCTGGAAAACACAACT